GTTTTAAACCAAAGCTAAAATGTGATTATTCCTCTTCTAACATACTATTTGCCATTTTGAAGTAAGGTAACCGAATTATCTGGATTTAGAATCATGAATTGTCTTTGAGACAAGAATATTTTGTAATGAACCATAATTGAATCTGGAGCTGTTTCTTAATCACCTTTTAAATCAAACACATATTCATATTTATTTACCAATTCTGTTCCCTCTTTAAACATTTTAAGGCGACCAAGTTTCACATAAAAAGAAATCCTGTTTTTGATATGATAATGAGAGAGACAAATATTGATTAATCCATGATAAAGTTCAAGTCTGGTATAAACCTCATTTTTAAAGTTTCATTAAGTTTAAATTTTAACCCATCAACAGCTAAGCAAAAATTTCTAGAATTTCAACACATTAGATGTCACTTTATTTTGTTTACAATTTTAGCTGTTATGTCATTTCGTTCATCCTTCATACAGTTAATTTTACCACATGTGAATATAGTGAATTGTGCAGGATTAGTTTAGTTTCAATAAGTTTTCCCTTAGCGTCATTTATTGCTTCCAGCCAATATTCCCCAAAGGCTGTCTGTTTAACAGGTTGCCTCCTTTCTTCTGCACCAGGTATTCTAGCCCCTTTTTTTTTTGTTTTTCTCTTTCTCCCTTATTTTGATATTTGTCATGCTTTGCCAAATAAGTTATTAATGCTTCTATTTACTCACCGAGCGCAATCCATGGCCCGATGCCCCACTTTGGATAGTATTTTTCCTTTTCAAATTCACCCTCCATCTGTTTAGGCTAAAATTAAGGCTCAAAAATCACCTCTCTCTTTTCTTTTCTTTTTTTTAGTTTTGCTCGCACGGCGGCGAGGAAATCAAACACAGCAGAAAATCAAACCCAGCAAACAAAATCAAAAACCTCCCACAGATTATAAGTTCCCAATTTTGACCATGGTTTTAAAGACATTGCAATAAACATAAAAGAGTACATTTAAACACATAACGTCTGCTCAGCGGCAGAAGCTTACACACACAGCTGACAGACACACAGCTTTCAGATACACAGAAATGGATCCACGCTTTTCAGCTCCTATGATGTCCTCTCTTATCACTTATTTCACTTATTACTTCACTTATTACTCTACAGAGGAACAGATCGCGATCAACCTTTATCTTATTCTCTTATCTCTTTATTCTCTTGTCTCATCTTTTTCCCTATGGTGGACCGCTTTCACCGCATTCGCGTTTCTCAAGCAAAGTCACAGATTGGCTAACGCGTTCTTTTCCGAGGGCAGCACTCCTCAAGGATAAAACTGACAAAACCTAGTCTTTCCCTTCCCCGCATCCGGGGGAGATCGGGGACGACCAGTTCCCACTGCACCAGCCAATCAACCTTTTACTTTGACTATTAACTCTTAACTTTTAAACTTTAACTCTTTAACTTTTAATTTTTAACTCTTTAACTTTAACTCTTAACTTTACTCCTATGAACAACTTGAAAGCCTTTAGACAAACCAGACAAAAGCAGTATGAACGACAGCTGACAATCG